TTATCGTCATCGCCATCGTCATCGTCACCATCATCATCGTCATCATCATCATCATCATCATCATCACCATCATTACCATCGTTAGCATCATTAGCATCATGAACATCATCAACATCATTTCCACCATTACCGTCATTACCGTCCTTACCATTATTGCAATCATTACCATCAGCGTCATCATTCTCCTCATCCTAGTCCTCATTCTTATCCCCATTCTCCTCCTCCTCATCAGTATCATCATTAATCACATCATCATCACCATCATCTTATAATCACCATCCTCATCATCCTTATCACGGCTCTCCCAAGACTAGGGACTCGAAGTGTCACATGTGACGGCCTCCCGTGCCCCTCGATCAGTCGCCGCCTAGACTACTGAGCTGGCACCGTGGCTGGACTTGCCACAGGCAGCAGGATCACGAAATGTTATCTGTGCGATGAGACAGTGGAGTGAACAAACACAGTCCAGGCCTCAGCTGCTGCTGCTCCTCCTTCTTCCTCTCTTCCTCCCCATCATCCCTCATCCTCTCTCAAACTGCGGTCGATCAGATTCGTTCTGGCCCTCCTCTCCCAACTCCCCCCTCCTCCTCCACCTCCTTATCACGCTCCTCCTCCTCCTCCTCCTCATCTGTAACCATTTTGGCTCATGCCTTTTCCGTAGGCCCCCTGCTCCTGGACCTTGTCCCTCGGCGTACCCCCATCCCGGGCGGGCGTGAGGGCCTTGGGGGGGCAGGGCTTTTGGCTCATGGAGCAAGGGATGGCACGGGCGGGGTTGCTGGACGGCGATCCTGGTGGCGATCGGCAGCGGCGGTCGCGCGCCGAGCGCACGGCCGCTCGGAAGCGGGCGCTGGTGGCTGCGGACAACGGGCTGGAGTCGGCCAGGGCCGAATGCAAGCGCCTCCGCGACCTGGTGGTTGCGGCGGAGACTGCGCTTGACGCAGTCGTAGGCTGCTGCGAGGTCGGCCAGCGCCTGCGGGCGCTCCTGCCCGCGCTGCAGGCCATGCTGCAGGGCCGCGCGCCGACGTGGATGGAGGTGCTGCGGCGCAATGTCGCCTTGCACGCCGATGCGCAGGACGTCGACGTGTCCCAGGCGGCTGCCGCTACACTGCGCAAGGCCCAGCACGGGCCACGGCTGGAGATGCGGCTCTTCTCGAAGAAGGTGACGCCCCTCGAGGACGCTGTCTCGACCCTCTCAGACGATGCCGTGCCCTTCGTGCCCGGCCAGATCTACGCGGAGTACGGTTTCCACGGCGGCGACGTCGATGAACTCCTGGCCGCGCTGGCACGGGAACAGCTGCCGCCCTTCGTGGAGGAGGGCTTCGTGCAGCTGCACTCCGAAGGCGAGCCCAAGAGCGGAGGGCAGGAGGAGAAGGAGGACGAGGAGTTTGCCGAGGACGACGCGGCTCCCGCTGCTGCTCCGCCCTCCCCTGCTGCCCACAGTCCCACCGAGCTGAAGCGCCTCGTGGATGAGGCCAAGGATCAGCTTGAGCGAGTTGCCCTCAAGATTGCACGCGGTGATGACTCTGGCGCTACCCAGCACGAGCTCGAGACGGCCGCTGACCGTTTCACAGACCTCGAGGACCTGCTGGCCTGCGCCCAGGCTGCGGCGATCGTGTACCACCCTGAGTGCGACGTTGAGGGTGATGGCACCACCAAACCATCGTGGGAAACGATGGTCCAAGACATCCATGCGCGCCATGCGGAGGAGCTCAGTGACCCGAGGAGTACCGGCGCTCTGCTCGCCGATGGACTGCCATTCTATTGGCATGAGTGCCCTGGATGGCCCCATGGGGCGCGCTGCCTCTGCCCGAGGTGCCTTGAGAAGCAGGTGGAGCATGTCATCCCCCTGTGGGCGGCGACGAACCCAGGCTGCCGTACGTGTCCGCGATTTGGCAAGATCGCTGAGTTCAGGATCGCCGAGGCCGTGTGGCGGCGCCCCAGGATCGCGCAGGTCCTCAAGCAGCCGCGCAAGTACCTCAAGTGCCGCCGCGTGCAGGACAACGGCGTCCCGCACATCGACAAGGTCGGCGTGGGCTGAGCCTGGGGTTAAACCCAGGCTCAGTCTACGCTAAGGGAAGGTCGCCCCGCGTCGTGCCCTGAGCGCGGTGCGGCGGCGGCCGAGACGGGACATTGCGTCCCTCAGCCTCCGCACTCCGCACTCCTCCTCCTCCTCATCCACTTCCTTCTGCTCTCTCCTTCCTTCTTCTACTTCTTCCCTCTCCCCACCTCCTCCCTCATCCCCCTCCCTCTCTTGTTCTCTATCCTTTGCTCGCCTCCCTCCCGCTTCCTGCTGCTGCTGCTCCTGCTCCTGCTCCTTCTCCTGCTCCTTCTCCTGCTCCTCCTGCTGCTCCTGCTCCTGCTCATGCTCCTGTTCCTGCTCCTCCTCCTCTTTCTCCTCCTCCCCCGCTCCTTCCCTGCCTCCCTGCCTGCCTCCCTCCCTCCCTTCTCCTCTCGCCTTCGTGGTCTCTTGCTCCCTCGCCTCGTTTCGCTTCTCGGCCCCCTCGTCGGTCGGCTTTCGTCGCTGCAGTAACCCACGTCCACCTACAAGCATGTCATCAGATCCTCCCTCCTCTCACCGCCTGGGGTCCCGATCAGGGATGAGGTGGAAAGGGGAAGGGTGATGAGGGATTTTTCAACGCGCCACAACACATCGCTCCACCATGAACGGCTGGCACAACAACGGTGAGTGAAAACGCGCAGCGGACAAACCGCGAGCGCAGCAGAAACAAACCTGCCGTTTGCGAGCGACTACGTCGAGCTGTGCCCTGGGAGACACGGAGGGACGCGCTGCGTGCAAACAGTCCTGGATGCCGTAACAAACAACGACATTGCACAAGCGAGCCAAGAGGACGCCAAATTGACGCCAGATCACTGTGTGAGGCTCCACTGGCTGTGCAATCTATGGCAGGTTCGTGCCGTGACGACCTCGGCGTTGGTTTCTGACAGTGCGTGGAGCATTAAACCTTGAACGGTCGGCGGCTTCTCGATCACCAGATCGGTCCATGTTGGACGATCCTGGGCCGCCACCAACAGCGTTCAACCTTGAACGCCCACGGCGGGTCGCTGCCGCGCTGGCACGACACGAACCCGCCATAGACAAGCGCGGGGCAGATCAAATCAGCAAGACAGCAGGTCTGCGTGGAAGGCAACTTCTATTTTACAAGCAGGGCTGGCGCACCGAATCCCCGCGACACGTCCGCCCACGCGTGACGACCTGGGCAGAGGCAGAGCAGGGACGAGGCGGCGCCGCGCTCGAGAGCCCGTGAGGGCGCACGATCCTGCGCGAGCAAGGGGGGGGCCGTGCCTTGGCTGGCATGAGGGAAGCGGGTCCCGAGGGCTGAGCGCTGCTGAGCAAGGGGGTGAGATTCACGGGGGGACGAATCACCGTGTGCCTTCCGTATACCTTTTGGGCCCCAGGGGGCTCCTTTCGGGCCCGGAGGGTGCACGAAAGGTGCACCCTTTACAATTACTCAATATGAATACTACTGTCCCTCTTCCCCTGATGACGTCTTGGGAATATTCGCCCCCCCCCCCCCCCCCGCGTACTGTTTTTTTACACACAGGTTTCCCCGGAGTTGGGTTTTCGCCTGCATTTTTTTCCAAAATGCTGCTCTCGCTGAGGCGCCGGCATCATTTTCGGGCCCCGCTCGTTCCGAATCGTGCTCCCGCTGCAGCGCTGGCATCATTTCCGCCGGCGCCCGGGCTGCACGCCCGAGCCGGCGCCCGGGCCGGCGCTCGGGTCGGGTCCGGAGCCGGATCTGGCCGGCGCCGGAAAATCGAGTTCCGAGGCGGCGCCGAAAAAAGGCCATTCTAATATATAAATTTTCCTTTTGAAAGCCGGCGCTCGGGCCGGGTCCGGAGCCGGATCCGGCCGGCGCCGGAAAATCGAGTTCCGAGGCGGCGCCGAAAAAAGGCCATTCTAATAAACATTTTTCTTTTGAAGATGCTGAATTTCTACTTCCGGCGCCCGGGAGGCCTCCCGGGCCGATTCCGACGCCCAGGCCGGCGCCCGAGCCGGCGCCCGGGCCGGACGCCCGAGCCGGCGCCCGGGCCTGCGCCCGGGCCGGGTCCGGAGCTGGTTCCGGCCGGCGCCGGAAAGTCGAGTTCCGAGGCGGCGCCGAACAAAGGCCATTCCAATACAATTTTTTCTTTTGGAAATGCTGAATTTCTGCTTCTGGCGCACGGGAAGCCTTCCCCGGAGTTAGGTTTTCGCTTGCAATTTTTCCCCCGGCCTCATTTTCGGGCCCCGCTCGTTCCGAATCGTGCTCTCGCTGCAGCGCTGGCCTCATTTCCGTGCTTCCGCTCGTTCCGAATCGTGCTCCCGCTGCAGCGCTGGTTCCGCGCTTCCGCTCGTTTCGACTCGTGCTCCCGCTGCAGCGCTGGCGACAGTTCCCGTGCCATGCCACGGCATGCAATGCAATGCTAGGTTGATACTACGCTTCGCGGTGCTCTTCTACGCCATGCCATGCCGTGCTCTACAATGCATCGCGTACCCTTTCGGGATCATCGCCCTGCTTGACATCCGACTGTACGAGTAGAGAGGGGATCTGCGCCATGGTAAGGGATGGGAGGGAGGGGTAGGATGTCAGATATGACGCGAGCGCACCTAGCTTGTCTTCCCCCCTCCGCGCATCGCCCCCCCCCATAGCGCAGCGTAACGCCCGGGAATGGAATGGATCCTTGGCCCCAGGGCCTCCCCCCGGGCGCGAGACTTCACCCCGAATCGTTCTCACGCAGCCCCATGGCCCGTGGATGGCCCAGGGAGACTAGACACGGTGAGAAAAATATTAGGTCGGGCCTGTCCCCCTACAGGCGGATTCTGGCTGACAACTTACAAATTCCTTGAAAATGCCAGAAAAATATTCAAAGATGGTAGAAAAATCGTCCCCATACTATTTTTGGACTATTTTTGAACATTCCCCCTGTAGAGGGACAGGCCCGACTTGAGGAGAACCTCAGGACACGTTTACCTCATGGCGAACTCTGGGTGGCGGTCCCGCTCACTGCCGGACGAGGCCGGACTTGTCCTCGCCCGAGAGGAAGGCCTTTGCCTTCTGGATCGCCTCGACCTCCTGCAGGCGCGCGGCCTGGCGGATGTCGAAGTTCTTCAGCGTGAAGTCGCACTCGCCGTGGAGGTCGGCGTTGGCCTGCGCCAGAGACTCCAGCTCGTCCACGGTGGCCCCGTGCGTAGCCTCGCTGTCGCTCTTCTCGACCTCTGAAGAGGCGATGGCCTTCGTCTTGACGACGATGAGCTCGCCGAGCGCTTTGTTCTCGGCCGTGGTGTCCTTGGCGAACTTCTCGTAGTCGGTCTGCGCCTGCGCCTCCGCGGCGATCGACTCCTTCTCGAGCGCCTCGGAGTCCCCAATGATCTGCTCGATCAGCCCCATCACGGAGACGGAGCCCGCGTTCTTGCTGTACTTGGTGAACTGCACCGGCGGGGTCTGCGAATCGCCCTGGCGCTGCTGGAGCAGCGCCTGCTTGTCGTAGAAGCTCTTTAGCGCCCCGAGGGCCTTGTTCAGGATGGCCTGCGCTGCGCGCTCGTCCGCGACCACCGTCTGGAACTCCTTGTTCTCTGCCTCGCGTGTTTGGCTCGCGGACAGCATCGCCTTCTTGTTGTCCGCGACCTTCGCCTGGGCCTCCTCGATCTCCTTCTCGTACGCCCTGATGGCGTCCTCGAGGGACTCGATCTTGGCCTCGAGGTCTTCCTTCTCCTCAGTCTTGGTGTAGTTCATCTTCTCGTTGGCGCGGAGCTCCTTCAGGCAGTAGGCCTTCAACTGGACCTCCTCTGCCTGCTCCGCCTTGAGGTCTACCATCATCTTGTCCATTGCCTTGAGGTGGCACGCACCAGGGGGCGGCACAAAGGGGGCCGCCCTTCCAAGACGATGGGCGGGGCTTGCAACAAGGCAGGTGGGCGACGGAAATAACCAGGTCCTTCGCGAGAAGACACAGCGCAACATCGACCTTTCGCCGCGGCTTTCGCAGGCCGCCAGCGTGGCACACCGTGTGGATCAAGAGGGCGCTTACGCGCGACTTTCCGCGGGAAGCTTACGCGCGAATGTCCACGCCATCGACTGCGTTTTCTTCCGTCGCTCAGAGATGGCTTCTCAAAAGCCCTCCCGGCTTCTGAGGCGCCCTCTCAGACCTGCCCACTCAGAAGCCCCTCCGCCATCCCACACGGCCGCCGCGTGCGGCAGGATGAGGTCCTCCTCCTCCTCCTCCTCCTCCTCCTTCTCCTCCTTCGCCACCCCTGCGTGCGCGCCGACAGGCCTTGATCACCTCGGCGAAAGAGTCGATCTCGGTGGTCACCGCCAGGGTGGACAGCCGGGCGCTGGGGCTGCCGGCCGCGCCAGACGCCTTCGCCCCGCCGCGGCCGTGCCACGCCGCCAGCAGGTCGTCGGTCTCCACGTCCAGGTCGCCCGCGGCCCTGCGCAGGATGCCGGCGGCCCCCTGGCGGCGCCTGCGCAGCCGCGCCGCCTCGCTGCCCTCCTGCTGGGGTGCTGCTGGAAGAGGCCCTGGCTCACGGTGGCCCAAGACTTCCCAGGGGGCGCAGATGGCTTCCAGAGCACCCCTCACGAGGCCCAGAGGGCCCCAGGGTCCCTACCACAGAGCGAAAAGCTGGGGACACCTCGGGCCAGGGACGCCTTCAGCACCCCCCCGACTCCTGCAGGAAGCTGATGGTGTTCATGAGGTGCTCGCGGTTGTCGTCCTCCGTGATGATGGCCAACGCCTCCGCCACGGCCTTCGTCTCCTCGGCGCGCATCTTGCTGCGCTTCTCCCACTGGTTGTCGAGGTCCTGGCAAGTCAGCCGGAGGTTGCGCAAGTACTCGACGTCCTTAGAGAAACGACAAACTGCATAAAGTTTGGAGATCTGCGCGAATTTCTTGGATTAGCGCTGGACCCCCTTCCCTAGGGCGCGGAGCACGCCAGTGGCGGCGCTAGAGGCGCCGCCAGGAGGGCCCAGCGCCGATCCATGAAATCCGCGCGGACCTCCGAGAGCTTATGCTCATGAAATTTTACCTCCTTCGATCCTCAGAGCGCTGGTCCGTCGTCAGCTGCAAGTCCTCCTTAGCATCGGACAGGGCCTTGATGTTGGCCGCGTGTTCGCCCTCCATGGCGTCCAGGCTCTCCTTGCCCGCGGCGATCTGCTCCTCCTTGGCCGCCCTGAGCGCCTCGTAGTCGTCGATGGCCTTCGCTTCCTCCTTCTGCTCCTGGCTGAGGTTCGCTTCGAACTCGTCCTTCATCTGCGTCAGTATACCTGAGGGAAATCGTCAGGGGGGGTCTGGCTCAGGGGGGGCAACATCGACCTGGCATCGGCGACACACCTCGCCGAGAGATCGGCGATGGGCCCTCGATAGCGGCACCGCGCAGTTCTGGGCGGGGTGAGCTATCGGCCCCTATCGGCGATGAATGGGCGATCGTGGGTGGATGCGTTCCCCCCCTGAGTCTATCCTTAAGTCGGGCCTGTCCCTCTACAGGAGGAACATTCAAAAATAGCTATTTGGGGGTATTTTTGGACTATTTCTTATTTTTCGTCCAAAATCCCCCTGTAAGGGGGACAGTCCCGACCCAAGTCTATCCCCCCGAACGCTGCCCCTGCACACCGAAGATGGTGTCCGACTGCGGCGAGTAGGAGCCGGCGGTCGGCAGCAGCTTCCCTGCCGAGGCCTGCAGGAACAGGCCGGCCCTGCCGGAGCCGGCGCCCAGCTCGCCGGCGCGGGTGGCGAGCTGCTTCTCGCCAGGCGCTGCCAGAGGTGCCGCCCCCCAGATCGCCGACGCCGTGGCTCTCTCGCAGCGTGGGTCCCTGGATGTCCCTTCCGCAGGACCCGCCCTCCACCCCGGCCGTCTCCGACGCCCCTGGGCCCAGGAGCGAGGGCCCCGGGGAGGCAGAGAGAGAGAGAGAGAGCAAGGGGGAGAAAGCCGTGCACGTCCGAGGGCCCCCAGCGGCCGAACACGCCCAAATTAGGGGAACAAGAAATGCCGTAAACATAAAAACTCGGAGGTCCGCGCAGATTTCTCGGATCCGCGCTGGACCCCCCTCACTGTCGCTCCTCCTCCTCCTCCTCTTCCTCCTCCTCCTCCTCGCGTGTGGCCGAGGTGCTCGGTCCCCCCCCCTCCTCCTCCTCCTCCTCCCTCCCTCCTCCTCCTCCCTCCTCCTCCCTCCTCCTCCTCTCCTCCTCCTCCTCCTCCTCCTCCTCCTCCTCCTCCTCCTCCTCGCGCGTGGCGAGGTGCTCGCCCGCCCCTCCTCCTCCTCCTCCTCCTCCTCCTCCTCCTCCTCCTGCCTCCTCCTCCTCCTCCTGCCTCCTCCTCCCTCCTCCCTCCTCCCTCCTCCTCCTGCCTCCACCGCCCGCCCCGTGTCCCGAGCCGGTGGCAGGGTCCTCGGCTCATCGCCGTCGTTGTCGTCGCGGTGGTGGTCGTCGTCGTGGGTCGGCGGCGCCGGCCGTGAGGCCTTCACAGTCCCAGACAGTTCGAGGGGTTGCGTTGCTCCCATCGCGCTTCAGGACCACATCCCAAAAGCGTGTCGAGCGCCCCGAAGAGTGCGAAGCAGTGTTGAACGAGTATCGCCTCCCATGGCCCGACACGTGAGAGCCCTCAAGCTTCGATTCCTTCCTGCTGCTCGAAATTATTTCTGGTGATCAAGGCTAAGGCAGGCTGGAACATCATAAGTCGAGGGCCGAAGCGTACTTCCGCGGGCGTCCGCTGGCGGAGCCGCCCCTCGTATTGACCTCTGCCAGCCTTCCGCCGAGAAGGCGGTGCCAGCACTCCTTGGCCCCCGAAAGGGCCAGGCGGAAAGCGAAGGGGCGCCTCGGGCCAGGATGCCCCCCCCCGTCTCTGGCGTCGGTGCTCTGGACCAGCGTAAGACGAAGCGAAGACGAGGATCAAGTCGGGTGAAATTAAATCGAGAATCTCTGAGATCCGACAGCTCTGGAGGATGTCTCGGGCGCCGCGGCCTTCACAGGCGTTCCGGAACGCTCTGGAACGAATCTGTCCTCGTCACAGCTCCGCCCGACAGTCCCCCGTGATGTGTCGGCCCTGGGTGAAGGCCACTTTAAGGCCGAAGACGGCAGGAAACTTCCTGTCGTGATGCTTTTCCGACGCGAGGGGGTTTGGGTACGGGGACGAAAGATCGCCCCCTGGACCTGTCCTGTGGTGCGTGCTGGCCAGAATTCCGAGGCGGACCTGGCCTTGGCCACGAGGAGGCCCAGAGACGGCCGAAAGGGACCAAAGACCTTGATCCTCACTTTCCCAGCCTCGAGAAGAGACTCGAGTGGGGTTCCTGAGATCCGACCTTGACAAAAAGTTGCAACATCGCGAAAAGTCACGACCAGAGCCCTCTATATCCAATTTTTCTGCTGCACTTTTCGAGCCAGATCGATCTGTGCGATGGTCCTGGGGCCCGAAACCAAGCGAAAACGCCCAGCGTCGACCAAAAAAGCAGCGCCCCCATCTCGAGGAACCTCGAGACGAGGCTCGAGGGGGGGGTCTGGGCCCCTGCGGCAGCTCCCGATCTCGGCGAACTTGGCCGGGAGCGCCTCGTCGCCGCGGAGCCCGAGCGCCTCGCGCAGCGCCGCGCCCGGGCTCCCGCCCGCGACCGACAGCAGCGAGACCGAGGGGGAGTCGGGGCGCCTGCGCGCAGCGCGGTCGCCGAGCATCAGGTCGTACGTGAGGGACACCTCTTGCGAGGGGACCGGCGCAAGGGTCGGTGGTTCAGAGATGGGGTCCTGAGGGATGGGGGACCCAAGGTTAGGTCGGGCATGTCTCCCTAAAGGCGGATGTTGGACGAAAAATAAAAATACCCCCTAAATGTTCAAACATAGTTTTCAAAACATACTTTTTCGACTATTTCTTGGAATATTTTTGGACTGCTTCTGAATCTACGCCTGTGGAAGGACACGCCCGACTTAAACCCAAGGATAGGAACGGGTTGAGGCACCTCGTTCTCAGGACCCCGGCCCTCGAGACCCCGTCCTTGTGCCGCCGAAAGGGGGGGGAAGCATCGAATCGGGAGCCGGCGACGCATCGCCGATGGACCGGCGACAGGCCTCCTGATGGCGAAGCCGCACGCTGCTGGGCGGGGTGGCCCATCAGGTCGCGGGAGTTTGCCACGTGTCCCCCGCTCTTTTCGCGCCCTCTGTTGGAGGCCTGGGAATGGGCACCAACACCAACACAGGGGGTTTGCCTCCATAGGGGGAAGATGATCCTAGATTTCGGTGTTGGTGGTGATATTTCGGTCACCTGGGAAGCCAGAATATTACCACCATCGCCGAGATCGGGATCGTCTTCCCTCGGTGGAGGCACACCGCCGATCTTGGCGTTGGTGTCAACCTCTAGGCCTGCGGCTCTGCGAGCTCCGTGGGGCTCGCTGAGCCTCATTGGGGGGTTCGGGGGCGGCCAGGAGGGGGTCCGTCCAAGAGGGGGGGGGGCGCACCTCGTGGCCGGCGGCATGTGCGTGCCGCTTTGGGGGGGGGGGCGCCAGGGACGTCATGAGATATGAAGAGGTGCCACGAGATCTGGGGAAATACCATGGCCCCCGCCATGATGCCCCGCCCCCCCTTGTCATCGCCCCCCTCTTAGCCGTTCCCAGCCCCCTCCCAGTCTTAAGTCGGGCCTGTCCCCCTACAGGGGGATATTGGGCGAGAAATCAACAAATATAAAAAATACGCCCCAAATGCTCAAACATGGTAAAAGAAATATTCCCCAGACTATTGTTTGACTATTTTTTGAATATTCCCCCTGTAGAGGGACAGGCCCGACTCAATCCCAGTCCATCCAGACCGGTTTTTCGAGGCGGACCCCGCCATGGCGACGCGAAGCCACCAAGAGGCGCAGACAGGACGGAAAGTGCCAGGCAGGGCCGCCGTTGTCTCTGCAAGGGCCCAGGGACACACACAAACAAAGGTACACAAATTCCAGGACTCCTCATATTTTTATCAAGATTTTCGTCTTCCCACTCACTCTCCATATTTTGCCATGTCTTCCTGGGGACCGACGATTCATTGTGTCTGCGTGTTTTTTCCCCTCCTGAGTCTCGAACTTGCCGTCCTCCGATCTTTTGATTTTTGCACCACGCCCCCCGCCTCCGAGACCCACCTCCTGGAGCTGGCTTTTCATCCCGAGTCGCTTCTTGACGGTCGCGGGCCCCGGCGAGGGCCCCTCCGCGGCGGAACGTGGCAGGCACAAAAACGCCCCCCGTGTTTCTCGGGCGGGGCGAACGGGGGAAATAGCAAAAGGGGTGATATTGAGAATGAGCTCACGCAGCTGATTTTCCCGGCGCCTCCCGGCGCCGGCAGGCGCCCGTGCATCGAGGCATGGGCCCGGCGGCGGGGCCGAAGCCCGCTGCACGCAGCAGATTTCGTACCCCCCCTTTCCCTATCAGAGGAAAAAGAACTATGCACATACACCGATTCTGGCCAGGCCCATCCTGAGCCCAGGATCGGTGCATACGCCCTCCTACCTTGGCCAGGAAGGCATATGCACCGATCCTGGGTCAAGGATGGGCCTTACCAGGAACGGTGCATGTGCATAGTTCTCTTCGCCCTACCTATCCCCCCCTTGCGTTCGGCCCGAGCTTTCTTCGCGGCGCGAGCTGATCGGGCCGGGGTCGGCTCCGCGCACCTCTCGGAGCACCGCGCGGATGCTCGCGGCGTCGGGCCCGTCGACCTGCAGCAGGCTGGCGGCGCCGCCCTGATGGCGCGAGAGCACCGCGATGGCGTTGTTCAGGTTCGTCAGCGCCTGGACCATGTCCTTCTCCTGGCGAAGAAGGATCGCAAACATACACGTCGTTCCTTTCGAACCGTGCTCAGTTCTCATTGTGCTCGTTTCTAGTTGTTCCTGGCCCCTAGTGGCCAGGAAGAGGCCCAGGAGGGAACAAGTAGGAGTGAAAGGACACTGGTTCCCCCCAAAATCAAAGAAGTTTCGAAGACTTTGAAATGAACAGTGTGTACTGTGAGGGCATAGGATAAGGAACAATTCGATCAAGAATGCAGGGTCTGGAAGCTGGTGGAACTCCAATCGTGCATTGGACGGTCGCGTCCTCTGGAAGATGGACTGTGAACATACTCCGGTGGTGAGCCCAGGGGGGGGCAAGTGAGGCGGGGCGGGCCTTCGCAGAGGGCACGGAAGCCCCCCAGCCCCCCGAGAAGTTCTCCGAACCTTCACCGAAGACGCAGAAAACCTCTCAGAAGGCGGGGGGCCTTCTGAAAAGCCCCGCCGCCTTCTGAGAAGGCCTTCTCCTTCTCACTTCCCCCCCTCGCTCGCCGCCGAATGCCCTGCCGCCTGTCGTTGCGAAAAAACCACGACGAACGCTTTTCTACCCTTTCCTGCCTCTGAAGGCCCTCGGCGGGGCTTAAGGCCGCCCAAACCGCCCAGGGTGGGGCAAGCGGGTCCTGTGGACGGGGTCGGGACATCCGGGGGTTCTCGCTGCGAGAAAGCCACGGCGTCAGAGATCCGGGGGGGCACATCTGGCAGCGCATGGCGAGAAGCAGCTCGCCGCCCGCGCCTTTGGGTACGATGCCGCATCGATGCCCAACAGCACAGTGTGTCCCAAACCGACAGCGGCCGCTGTTGGGCAGGCGGCCTTCTGTCTCAATTGGACAAGGCCCGCGGCGGCACAGACAGCAACTCTGGTTCAAATCGGACAGGAACTGCTGTCAATCTTCGTCCCCATCCTTTCCGTACCCACTTCGATTGTACTTGGGCGCTGGCTCCAAGGCTGGCCTGTTCCTGCAAGCCTCGGCTGGGAAACTGCTGCCGACCGCCAGTTCCTACTCGCCAGGTCCTGAGATGAAAAACGGGTCCCGCGGAATGGGTCGAGGCCTCTGGGGATCAACGTTGTTAAACAACACATGACGCTGGGGGTCTGGGAACACAGACACGAACGCATCTTTTCGGAGGTCCATATGGATTTCTTTGGCCGGCGCTGTGCCCCCCTGCTCGCGCCTCTGGCGCCGCCCCTGGCGTGCTCCGCGCGCCAGGGAGGGGGGCCCCAGCGACCGCCCCGGAACTCCGCGCGGAGCTCGGAACGCTGGTGCGTTGTGCATTTTTTTTTTTTTTTTTTTTTTGTTTTTTTTTGTTCCAGTCCTCGCCCCTGAACTCGGAAGCCTCCCTCTCGCGGATGGCGGTGGCCTCCTTGAGCATCTCCGTGTCCTTCGCGATCTGGTTCTTGAGCGCCGCGATGTTAGTGCTCACCTCCCCGAACTTCGCGGACATCGACTGTATGGAGGCCTCCAAATCCGAGATCTTCACCTCCGCGGCGGCGATGGCGGCCGTCTTGTCCTTCTCTCCCGTCTCGCACCAGCACACCATTTTGTCGTACATCTCCGACTCCTTGCTGGCCTCACCCTCCAGCTCTGCCTTCATGTCCCTGAGCAGCTTGACGACGCGCTGCACAGGGCTCTGCGAGGACTGGTCGAGGTCCTTCGGCGGTGCGCCGAAAAGGAAGCGAGGAGGAGGAGGAGGAGGAGGAGGAGGAGGAGGAGGAGGAGGAGGAGGAGGAGGAGGAGGGAGGAGGGAGGAGGAGGAGGAGGAGGAGGAGGAGGAGGAGGAGGAGGGAGGAGGAGGAGGAGGAGGAGAGGAGGAGGAGGAGGAGGAGGAGAGAGGGGGGCAAACCTTCTCGGAAGGCGGCCGGGGCTTCCCAGAGGCCCTCCGGCCTTCTGGGAAGCCCTCGCTTGCGGCGCCAAGCGCCGTGCCCTCGGAGAGGGCCGAGGAAGCCTCGTAGACGGCGGGAGAGGCCTCCTGCGCCTCTTGAGGAGGCCCGGCCCCTCTGTCTTCCCCCCAAAGAGTGCCGCCGATCCATCCTCCCTTTGTCTGCGGGGGGGGGCCGCGAGGGACCGGGGCCTTCCCCCCGAAGTCAAGCCAGCGGCAACGTGGGGACGGCAAACACCCCGACTGGGAAGGACGCCAAGCGCCTGCGCCCCAGAGCACCTGGAACCCCCTGACACACCCCCGAAGCCCCTTCCCCGCAAGCAAACTCCCTCGAAAAGGGAATCTCCCCCGTTCTTCTCCCCCTTCAGGGGGGGGGGACAAGACGGTAACCTCAGAGGGTCTTTCATGATAGGGGGACCAACCCCGTACAGTGCGGGCGCGGTCGCAAGAAACCCTCGCAAGAAACCCAACCCTGAAAACCCGCGCACGAGCTGCAACTGAGGGGAAACCTGGAGCACCCCGAACGTAGCAGCTCCTTCAACGGCTGCGGGAAGTCACCGCGCATCGCGCGGAGCGAAGAAACCCAGGGTACCCTGACGAGAAGTCACTGGTTTCTTGATGCGCGCCCCCACTGTAAGCTCTCGGCCAGGAGTAAAACTCGTCCTCCCTCTCCCCGCCCCTCCCCTCCCAGTATGATTAATGACATGAGGAGTACGGATTAGAAAAAGAACACGTGCGCGGACGATGACGACGACAGCGGGCGGCGTCGACGATGAATACGGCGGAGGCCACAGCAGCGGCCGCCGCGGGGGGGAACATCATTTTTCTAGTATCGTTTTCGGTCCCAATCCGACAACGAAGCCACGCAGAAATCATTCATTTCCATTGCAAGAGGGCCTCATTCGAGACCCATCGCGGTTACCGACGCCGCCACTCCCTGGACTTCGCCTGGGGTGAGTTCTGACCTGGACGTCGAGGCGAAGCCGTCCGTGGCGACGAGGGAAGGGCGGCGCTATCGGTACCTCTCCCTTCCCTGATCCTCGGCCCCCTCCTGCCCCCGCCGCCGCTCCTTGCCCCGGGTCTCCGCCGACGCACGCTCGCTCGCCACCTCACCGCTGATCACCCGCCCCCCGGCCGTGGCCGCGAGGGCGGCCAAGCACAGCAGCATGGCAGCTTGCATGGCGCGCGGGCGGGCGCCGCTTCGTTGCTCCGGGGGGTGGTGGGATCGATCCGCTCCCGCCTGGCCAGTGGAAAGGGGGGGGGAGGCGTGCGGCGGCGAGCCGAGGGGGAAGTGCGAGGGGGCAGGCCTTCTCAGGAGGCGGCGGTGCTTCGAGGAAGCCCCCCGGGCTTCTGGGAAGCTTCGGACAGGGTCCAGGATTTGTTGCCCCCATCGTACTGAAGGACCTCATCCCAGCCATATTTTCGAGCACCCGGACAAGTGTCGAAAGAGTATCGAAGCTGTGCCGAAACAATGTCGTTCGAGTGTCTCCCAGGGCCCAACACGTGAACACCATAGCGTTTCGGTGTTTCTTTTCTGGTGCTCGAAACTACTTTTTTCGTAATCAAGGCTCGAGCAGGCTGGAACACCATACAAGCGGACTTGATTGGACAGGACACGCGACAGGACACAAGACCCTTCCGAGGGCCACAACGCCATAGGAATGCAGGAGGCACGGGCCGCGAGACACAGGACACAAAAGTACCCTTGATTTCGGAGGGTCGACCTACTAATCCGGGCCGACTGTAGTCCAGGATGCTTCCCAGAGGGCTGGAGGCCTTCTGCGGAGCCTTCCGCGGACGCCCGCCCCCTCTGCCTCTCCCTCCCCCCCCCTCCGCGAGCGCGCCGCAGAGATGCAGGGGCGGGAGGGAGGGGGAGGGGCGGAGGCGGGGAGGAGGGAGCGGGGAGCAGGGACGGGGAGCGGGAGCGAGCGAGGCGGGAGGGAGGGGCGGAGGCGGGGAGGCAGGGAGCAGGGACGGGGAGCGGGAGCGGGAGCGGGCGGGAGGGGCGGACGCAGGGGAAGAGGGAGCAGGGGCGGGGAGCGGGAGCGAGAGCGGCAGCAGGACCCAACGGTGCGCTCGACGCCCCGCGGGTCTGGCAATGTCGCCTCTGCCCTGTGTGCTGCTGCGGCTTCGCCTCCCCCTCTCCTGCCCCGTCTGCCTCCCTGTCTGCCTGCCTGCCGTGTCGGGTCTCTTCCTGCCTTCTTGCTGCCTGGTTCTGCCTCTCTCCGCTTCCTGCCTTCCTTGCTTCCCCCGCTCCCTCCGTGTCTCTTTTTGGCTACGTGTTGAGCGCAAGTAAGCATTGCGGGAAACTACCTCCTCCTGCCGCTGCTTCCCCGCATTCTCGCCTTTTGCGTTCCCTTGCTCCGCAATAACTCAATATGAATACTACGCTCCTCTCTCCCCTGAGCGTGTGGCGGAATCTGTCTCGGAATGTTCGGCCCCCCCTCGAGTATGTTTTTTTCACACAAGATGTCGGCGAATTGGGTCTTCGCTGGTGTTTTTTGTTCAAAGTGCTGCTCTCGCTGCAGCGCCGGCCTCACTTTCGGGCTTCCGCTCGTTCCGAATCGTGCTCCCGCTGCAACGCTGGCTTCATTTCCGCGCTTCCGCTCGTTCCGAATCGTGCTCTCGCTGCAGCGCTGGCCTCATTTCGTGCTTCCTCTCGTTCCGAATCGTGCTCCCGTTGCAACGCTGGCGTTATTATTTCCATTGCCATGCCACGGCATGCTTTTCGTTTTTTCCAAATCGGCCCCAGAACCTAGAAAATGGCAGCCCGAAAAAACCATCAGAAGTGATTACACATTCGGTGCCGATTCGTTGATATTTTGGGCCGCGAAAGCCCCCCCACTTTGGGGCGTCGCCACGCCATGCTATGTCATGCTACGCGTAGATCTTCAACGCCATGCTATGCAATGTAATGATATGCCATGCTACGACATCCAACTGTGCGAATAGGGAGGATATCGACGCCATTGTAAGGGATGGGAGGGAGGGGTAGGACGTCAGATATGACGAGAGCGCACCTAGCTTGTCCCCCCCCTCCCCCCCCTCCCCCTCCCCCTCCTCCTCCTCCTCCTCCTCCTCCTCCTCCTCCTCCTTCTCCTCCTCCCTCCCCCCTCCTTCTCCTCCTCCTCCTCCTCGTGCATCGCTAGGCAGTAGCGTGACATGGATATATACATAGGTTTGAATAGGTTGTAGTCAGCGTTATGACCGGACATGGGTCTACAAAAGGCAAAGCATCGACGAAACATGATGGCGGAAATGGGGTAGGAGACCTTCTTTCACCGCTCGGTGCAACCATCGCCTTTCGCGCGTGAACCGATCCTTGCTGTCGAAGGCCTTCTGAATGGAAAGTAGTACCGTGCCGTGCGGTCCCGCGCAGCGTTTCACATGACAATGCCATAAATCAGAGACCCCATCGGCTCCTCTTCCTCCTCCTGCTCCTCCTCATCTTCTCCTCCTGCCTCCTCCTCCTCCTCCTCCTCCTCTCTCCTCTCTCCTCCTCCTCCTCCCCCCTCCCTCCTCCCTCCTCCCTCCTCCTTCCTCCCTCCTCCCTCCTCCTCCTCCCTCCTCCCCCTCCTCCTCCTCCTCCTCCTCCTCCTCCGTAGCCATTTTGGCTCAGCTAGCTCGGGCGCCTGGGCGAGGTGCGCTTCCCTCCCCGCGGCCGCCCAGGCGATGGTGGCTACGCACCTGGCGGCGGCGGCGGCGCGCGCGGCGGCAGGCGCGTGCAGGGCCGCGGCGGCGAGCGCCCGCGCCGAGGGCTCAACGGCCCTCGTGGCGGCTGCGTCGAGCTGCGACGCCGTGGAGGCGCACCTCCTCGCTGCAGCGGGGCGCGCGCGCGCCGGCGCCGACGGCCTCGCCCCGCGGCAGGCGGCTGCCGAGGAGGAACTGCGGCTCCAGGCAGTGACCGAGGCCGCCACCGGCGCCTGGCCCCACAGCGCAGGCGCGGTGGCGCGCGGCCTCCATGGCTGTGGCCTCCCTGTTGCTGCCATGGCGGCGCGGCGGGTCGGGCGGCGCGGAGGCCAAGGGCGCCATGGCAGGGCCCCGCCCGCGACGCCCGCGCTGGAGGTGGCCCGGGATGCTGCGCTGGCGGCGGCGGCGGTCGGGGCCATGCGGACCGAGGAGGCGTCCACCGACGTGCCGAGCAGCAGAGACTCCCACTCCGAGGACGCGTCGGAGCAGCCAAACGCCCTGAGCGTGAAGGGGGCGAAGAAGGACATCAAGGGCGCCCCAATCTGCACTGCCACTGAGGAGCTCAAGGAGACAATCTCGCTTCAGCCAGTTGCGAAGCAGATGGGGAAGCGGATAAAGAAGGCCAGCGACCACGCCCCAGACAGCAAGGCCACCGAGGAGGCGAAGGAGCTGGTCTCGGCCATGAGCGACGGGGATGTGCTGGTCCAGGAGAACACTCGCTTCTACAAAGGGAAGTCCCTGCACGACCCCGACAAGAATGAGGAGCAGATGAAGAATGACATCTTGTGCGACCCAGGCTGCCAGTCCACCAACGAGGTGCAGGAGAGGATCGCGGCCATGAGCGACGGGGACGTCCTGATCCTGAAGAACACTCGGTTCTACAAGGGAGTGACCAAGAACGACCCCGAGAAGCAGGACCACCTGACGAAGAAGAACGATGGGGACGTCCTGGTCCTGTTGCACGATGGCCCCGAGGAGAAGCAGGTGATGAAGTGCGAGACGCCCTCGGAGGTCAAGCTCAAGGAGCCGCACCCCGAGGACGGCGACAAGCAGAAGATCGGGGACGTGGTGCAGGAGGGCATCGACAACCCCATCCTGATGAAGACGGAGGTCCACGCCAACGACAGGTACGCCCTCGGCGACTCCGAAAGCACGGGCGAGCTGATGAAGAAGTACATCAAGTGCGACCCACACTGCAACGCCACCGAGGAGCAGGAGGAAGCCGTGTCGGCCTCGAGCGACGGCAACGAGCTGGCCCTGAAGGAGGCCGCCTTGGGAGTGCGACTCCGACGACGACGACGCCGCCCTGCGCGCCGCGAAGCTCGCCTTCCGCGCGCGCTGAGGCTGGGCCTGCTGCGAGCTCTCGGCGCGCTCGCGGGCGTAGTTTCCCGTGGACCCCTGGGCCGTTGGGCCGCGCGTGGCGCGATGATAACCGCGCTTCCCCTGGGGCTGTTCCTGGCGGCGCCGCGTGGCGCAGTGCAAGCACTGTTGAAGAGTAAATTGTCCTGGGGAGGGCCTGTCGCAGCGTGCGAGGGATGTCGCCCCCCTCGGCACGGCTGGCAAAATTTTGATGGCCCTCCCCAGGCCCCCGCCCTTTTCTCGACGGACAACGTCCGATTGCTCCAGCTCCAGCTCCTCCTCCTCCTCCTCCTCCTCCTCCTCCTCTCTCCTCCTCCTCCTTCTCCTCCTCCTCCTCCTCCTCCTCCTCTTCCTCCTCCTCCTACGCACGCAGTAAGCGCGCATGGGGTCCCCACGAGCCCCTGCCAAGGCAAAAACCCTTCGAGAACACCCATCAAAACGACCCTTTTGTCACCTCCGACTGTGGGCGGCATCCCGTCGGAAGGCCAGCGACACTGTGCTCTCCCAGGTGGCGATCAGGGCCAACGCCCTGGCCGCTTCTATCCAACACGCCTGGGTGCCAAGCGTCGGGTAGAGCGAGCCACTCCCTACCTTGATTCTACTTCCACAGCTCAACGCCTCGCAGAACTTAACTCTCTTGCTCCAATCTGAGGGCGCGGGCGGCCACGGCTCTCGAAACTGTTTGGAGATGGTGAGTCGGCCAGCACCGCACTGGGCACACGCCCCCCCCCAGCCTCCCCCCCCGCGAGAGTGAAGGCGAAGGCGCTATGAGTGGCGTGGCCCTCCCTCCTCAAGACAACGATCGACAACTCGGCTCGACTCTCAACCTCGGCGGCCAGTGGCGTGGGAGGAAGTACTTGCACGGAAGGCACGCCTGACTGGGGCTTCACGCTTCGAAACTAGAATGTGCGAAAATCAAGATCGGCCATAGGAGGTCCGCATCAGGCAACCCAACGTGTGAGAGCACTGACAACCTTGATATGACTCCGGAAACGCTCACGACAAGAAGCTGCAACTCCAGAGTGCTCGGCGGCTTGCTTGGCATACTGGTCAGCGAGACGGTTGCCGATCTGGGCCCGATCAGAGATGCGTCCTGCGAGGAGATCAGAGCGCGAGGTGTGCGCCTTGACC